GCCTGTGGAGGGGATATTTGATCTTTAAACTGTATTAGTAAAGATATGAGTATTGTTGGGATATTTAGAAATGGAGAGTTAAGGAAAGAGAGAACAAGAAAATGAAAGGGAGTAGGGAGCCAAAAAAAGATAATAGAGGATTTTTAAAAAGCCAGGGGGAAATGTCAGGAACTCTAGAGCCATGCATCAGGAGGAGACATGGGCCAGGGCTGAAACAGGCATTAAAGTCATGAGCAAATGTAAGTGACTGAAAATTGAGCATAGCTGTATTCTTGGTCTTTAATCCAAGAGGACACAGTGGGTAGGATAAGATATTTATGATGCAGGCAGATACAGAGCAAGAAAGAGGCAACTAAAATTGACATTTATGGAGTTTACTGTAAGAAGTGAACAAAGATGCATCTTAGTAAAACAACATGATAGAGGTTGCATTATTGACTGGAAGGTCTACATGGAAGTCAGAGATATTGGGGTGTCTGAATTTCGAAAGGACACAGAAGTTGAGTGATGGAAAGTAAGTATGGGTGAACGCACTCCTCATGGTACTGATTTCCTTGTTCATGTTCTCCCTCCTTTTGCTCCTCATTTGGACCTTGGGAGTTCAGTCCAGTGCTCCAATGTGGGTCTCTGTCTCAATCTCCATCTATCATCGGGTGAAGGTTCCCTCTGATCCCGCCTTCCTTGCTCACATTCTCCCTCCTTCTGCTTCTCATTTGGACCTAGGGAGTTAAGTCCAGTACTCCAATGTGGGTCTCTTTCTCTATCTCCATCCATCGCCAGATGAAGGTTCTAAGGTGATATGTAAAATATTCATCAGTATGGTTATTTGCCAAGGCCAATTCAGGCACCCTCTCCTTTGCTGTCCAGAGAACAATCTGGGGATCTCTCCTTGGACCTGGGAACCCCTCTAGAATCAAGTGTCTTGTAAACCCTACTGATACAAGGGGACTGATCTAATGAGAGATCACCAAGGCCAGCTGGACTGGGACTGAATGAGCACGTGATCAAACTGGATTCTCTGAATGTGGCCGGATTCTCTGAATGTGGCTTGCATGGGGACTGTCTGAGAAGCCATTGATAATGGCACTGGGACTTGTTTCCTCTGCATGTACTGGATTTTTGGGATCCTAGTCTGTTTAGATGCTCACCTTCCTACCTGGAGGGAGGTGGGAGGAACTTGAACTTCCCACAGGGCAGGAAACCCTAACTACTCTTAGGGCTGGAGAGAGAGGAGGAGAGGGAGTGGGGGAGTGGGAGAGTATTGGGAGGAGGGGCGGAAGTGGAAACTTTTATAAATTAATAAAAAAGAAAAAAAGAAATGAAAAAAAAGAAAGTAAGTACGGATTCTCTGATCACAATGACTATATCAGGTTTAAGAACTACCACATTGACATGGCTGCCTAACTGTACTGGACATGGTCATCATTAAGGACCTGTTACATTAGCTTGTGCTGCATCTCCTGAGATTCCAGCCTTTCATATGATCTCTATAAATGGAGTACTATATACTTAAATATAAGGGTTTATATTTTACCAGACCTATTTGTTGAGGTTTTGCCACAAAATGATCAGCTTGCTGCTGGAAACAGTTCACTGAGTACAAGACCAAATAACAAATTCATTATTTCAAGTCAACATAATGTAATAAGTGTTCAAAATACTTCATCATAATTTGGTCAAAATCCCTTATTTGTAATTGTGTTGCAAGATGTTCTGGGAGGAATACAGGATGAATAGAGTCATTATACATTGTATGCCTGTAGAAATTTTCTTAATTGTTTTTTATTGAGCTATATATTTTTCTCCACTCCCCTTTTTTTCTCTTCCCTCCCCTTCTGCTATCTCCCAATGTTCCCATGCTCCTAATATACTCAGGAGAGTTTGTCTTTTTTGACTTCCTATTTAGATTAGGTCCATGTACATCCCTTTTAATTTCCTCTTTGTTGTCTAGGTTCTCTGAGATTGTGAATTGTAGGCTGATTTTTCTGTGCTTTATGTCAAAGAATAAATATTACTTTAGAAAGTTCAAAATTCAAGTTGACAATTAATTATAAATATAGAACACAGAACATTTCAAGTTTTCAATATAGTTTGGAAGCAAGTAGTTGCAGTTGACAAGTAGGCTACTTGTTTGATTCGTGAGTAGTTTGAAAGTACCATTGCAGTTCATCAAGCTACTTGGGAGATGATCCAGAATCCAGTCTGGAAAGAAAAAAGAGATTCAAATTACTCCAGGCTAGTCTTTCTGGAGAGCCATTGACCATGACACTGGGACTTGTTTCCTCTGCATATACTGGATTTTGAGGATCCAGTCTGTCTGGACGCTCACCTTCCAGGACCTGGAGGGAGGGGGGAGGAGTTTGAACTTCCCACAGGGCGGGAAACCCTGACTGCTCTTGGGGATGGAGAGGGAGGAGGAGGGGGAGTGGGGGGAGTGGGAGGGTGTTGGGAGGAGGGGCGGAAATGGAAACTTTTGTAATTTAATAAAATTACTTTTAAAAAAAAACAAATTACTCCAGGCTATAACATCTTAGTTTATTAAACCTGGGTGCTTATGCTAAGGTAGGCCATATAAAAAAGTACTTTAAGGATGACTAATCTTACCACAGTGCCCTATGGCTTTGTAGATCTCTTCTAATGTTTCTTAGCATATCTGAAAAAAACTTTAGTTCTGGGTGCCTTTAGCCCTGTGCACCGAGTATAGTGGCTACACCTCACACCACTGGCTACTCCCCCATGCTTTATCTATAATTCTCAGCGCTCTTAGTAAAAGCTAGTTTGTTTTATTTTTTAATAAATAAATAATCAAATAAAAAGGGGAAAAAGGCTAGTGAACAAGATAGCCATAATCTCTTTCAATGACAGCAAGACCCACAGAAAAGATGTTGCTGATCTTGGTAGCAAATAGCTGCAACTGAGATCTAAAATACTCATGTAGGGTTAAGGAATGACTGGGAGAGGTACACAGTCACCATTTACAGAAGTTATTGCCTAGGGTTAGCAACAGAGTTGAATCAGGACAAGAGAAGCCTGCCTGGTTCATTGATTTTCAATTTCCCCCCTAAGCAATTGACTGCCTGTTTATAAAACTCAGAAGGCTTTGGGAGACTTCATTGGTAATGGATTCTCCTTGGAGCAGTATATTTTCATTTATTTGTTAAAGCCTGAAGTGCTGATAGCATTTAAGTTATCCTTCTGTGTCATTCCAGTACATGCAGTCATGATGGCTTAGAATGGGGCAGTCTGAGATATGAATGACAAATAAGGATTAAAAGGAGCCTAACAATATACCTTGTTTATAAATCCTATATACTAAACTTATGAAGTCATGATATTTGGAAAGGGATGTATTTGTTCTTTGATAGTATCCAAACAAAGTAACAATCAATGTGGAGAATCCACAAACAATTGAAAATTGATCTACCATAGATCAAACTATCTCACTCATGGCCTTAAACCCACAGCAGGCTCCATCTTACTACAAATATTCTTCTTTTCTATGCCAAACAATGTCAAAGGAAAAAGCACCCACTTTTCAGACATGTTTCAATGTTCTATGAAAGCCCTATAAACATTAACAGATAACCATAACACTTACAAATTTCTGGGGCCTGTTAATACACAAAGGTACTGTGTTCTTCCTTGCTTTAATTTCTTGCCGTCCATTTATGTTCTCTTGAATGTCCATCATCTCTTCCTAGGAGCATTTCTTTTTTTTTCACAACTTCTCATTTCTTTAATAATGAATTCCTTATTTTTCTGAATTTATTCAACATCCACTTGACTTGAATAGTAATGAAATACAAATGCTTTAGAGGTGATTTTTCTAATTTTCAGAAACTTCTTAAACTGAAACAAAATGAAAATTCTTCCAAACACAATTTTGGGTTCCAATATTTTAGGATGTAATGGGAACATCAGAAAGTAGGACATAATTAGAAGTAAATAATGGCTGAGTTCTTGCTGGGTAGACTTATGGCTCCTAACTCCTTTCATAACTCTCAAACTTTCCCAGTGACTCATGAATAATCTCACCTCTTTGGGTTGTCTTCATCTAATGTCTCAAGACACTGCTGCTGATGGTTACTCTCTTCTTATGTTCACCCACTTCAGGCAATTACAGGTGTTGTCACTGACACTGTTGGGAATCTGGGATGTTGCTGCAAACTCCAAGGACCTATGTGCACTTTATGAAAGAATCTAAGGATTTTCTGTTCATAATGAAGAACAAAAGAAAGCAGCATCTTCCACTGAGTGCAATGTCACATCATGGGGTGAAGAAACTTAGAAAATCCTTCCTGATTAACCTAAGAAGAGTACAGAATAAATTTCTGCATACATAGCAGAGCAGCATGGCTTGCTTGAGCTTTTATTATAACTTTCCAATCACAGTCCTGTGAAGATACCCTTACACTTTCTTAATCATGTGTTTTTGCTTGTTCCTATGAGAAGTAGGATTCTGGCTTTCTTATGAGTTAGAATGTAAATATCACCTGGCTTATGAAAGACTGTGGCTTGTACGTCTGGAGCAGTTGCAGTCAATGTGATCAGGAGCTTATTCATAATAAGAGTTTGGGTCACTGATCTGTTGGGACAGTGAGGCTTTCTGTGTTGAAAGTTTATGGCTTACATGGTAGCTGTGGTTCGAGTGTCTTGTGCCTTTCAAGTTTATCTTCCATGGAACATATATTATATGTACAGAGCACACAGGATGTAACATATCAGTCTATCTGATATCAAAGATAGAGATAATTTGTTGAAAAGATATTGGGCATGTACTCCTCAATGCAGGCAGGACCAAAGAAAAACTGTGAAACATGTAACACAAAAGGTGAAAAGGCCTGGATGCCAAGAGTTTTTCTATAATTGAATGAAAATTTCACAAGTGGAAGAAACAAGAATAATCCTTAAAAGTTAACTCATACAGAAAAATGTCTTCCAAAAAGCATTTGTGTATTATTTCCTTTTTTCAAAACTGTATTCTGAAAAAAACATTCAATTTATATAGTAACAATAACATTAGATGATTCTGTATGCTTTATCCAGAGAAAGAACAGTCTACAGAGAGGGGAGGATTGACTCATAAGTACAAAAGGGCTCAAAGTGGGAAAACACAAACTTATAATGACTGTGATCTTCACAAGCCACCAATTTTGACCAGACAATACAGCATTGCAACCATGTGAAATAGTAGAGAGGGTATAAATAACCAGAAAGGTGAACACTCGAACAAGTATGCTCTGAGTGGCTCTAGACTCTGGGGAGTTACCATGGAAAGCACAAGTGTTGCGTATGTGTTGAATTCGCTGTTTGTGCCTATACAAAATGACAATCATTGAGCTGCTGGAACAGGTAATGAGGACAGAAAATAAGAGTTCAGGAAACACTGATAAAGCTATATATAAGGAGACTGAGATTTTGTCATTATCTACAACACTATAGTGTTCAAAATCTATCTCTTTTGTTATGTTTTTCCGTCTTGATTTTATGTACATGTACAAAGGTAAAAGAACATTTATCATGATGGACAAGACCCAGCTTAGAGAAATGTAGAGACCTACATCCTTGGAAGATTTGACTCTAAGGTTCTTCCAAAAGGAGTTTCTAGGACTGATGATGATAGACTGGAAGACACTCAAGAGGAAGATGGTGGCAATGGACATGCTTCTGAAAACTCTTATCACATAAATAAAAAGTTGGTAGCTCCAATCATTGAAGAAATGTTTCAAGCTAAAAATTGTTATTGTGTTTCCCATTCCTTTGGAGAGAATAATCAAGAGGTTAACCATGATGAGATGCATAAGAATTAAATCCAAGGGCTTTATTTTATGTTTCTTATTACAAATAACTAGGTAGTAGGAAAGGAAAGAGACATTTCCCAGAAATCCAACTGTATTCTCGATCAAGAATATTATTCCTATTCCCAAATTCCTAGAGTCCATTGTTTAACTGAGCAAAATCTATTTACAATTGCTCCAGCAGTCAGTTTTCAGAGAAAACTTTTGGATTTATTTTGTTAAAAAGATTCTGTGTTCCTGATATCACAAAAGCATAAGAATCACATGAAATAAAGACCGAAAGCACAAAGTGGTCAGCTCATAAAGATCCTGTACATAACAGCTCTCACACTTATTTTCAAACTAATGGTAACAGTCAGTAAGAACTGTTGAAGTCTTCAAATGCATGCATTTATAAAGCAAATTCCCATTATACTACTCACAAAAGCAACATTAAGAATAGGGCAAATTTATCCTGGTAGAAACAATGACCAGTAAGTTCAAAATTAAAAAATGCCTAATTCTACAAGTTTACCCATATTGGAGAAAAAGTCTTGTCTTGCCATCTACTCCAAGGAAGAAATCCATTGTGAATACCTTTTGAATACTAATAATAACATTTAAATGAAAGTATTACAACAGAAAAGAGAATGTTTTTCTGATCTTTGATAACTATTTTATTAAATAGTACTAACCATGAGGTAAAATAATAAATTAGATAATATTACATTAAGATGCAACTACTTAAATTCCATGCCCTACACATATCCATGTAAGAATGGTGGTATAGACTTAAGATTAGGATAGAGAGGAGAAGTGGTGCGTGAAGAATTGTTACCTGACACAATGGAGAGAAAACATATGAATGACTCCAACAAAAAATAGAATAAGGCAATAATTGATAAATAATACATATGGGAAGAAAGTCCAGAGTTCTATCTGATCTATTATCTGATACATCACTCAGCAGTAGAAATGTGAGGCAAAAGTCATAGGAAACAGTAACTCTTGGCAAATATGTGGATGAAATAATAGTCCTGGCTATGATATTCACCTTATATCACACAATTTTCCAAATGAGAGGCTATGAGAATGTAGAACAGAATTAAATCTTCATGTAGAAATCCTAGCTTTTATGGACTAGATAAGCCTACGCAGATAATGCTCAGAACTTATAAACAATGAATGACTTGAAAACAAAAAGTACAAACCTGTACGCTAGCTTTGCAGTGATTGACTGATGTTTATGCGATGCTGTGGCAACGTACATAAAATCAGAAATGCATCCATATTCCTCAAATGCAGATAAAACAACTTTGAAAATGTAACAGATCTTGCTTTATATTAGGAATTATACAAAGATCAATAAATGGGAGCATTTTAAGATAGCAGAGTCATGAACCTACCTCTAATAATTTTTACTACTGCAAAAAATAAAAGAGAACACTATTGTTGAAGTGGTGATTTAAATAAAATGGAAGCTAACAATTAAATCTGGTATTTATTGATTATATGTGTGTTCAGACAGAGCCCTCTTCAGTAATGCAGGCAGGCCTGGACTGTACAGCAATCCTCCTGCCTCAGTCCAGGGATTCCAGGAATTGACACAAGGACAATGTTCAGTTTCTTGATCTATGTATGACTTAGCAAGGTGGTTTTCATTTTTGATCTGTGAAATTATAAACAAATATACGACTTCAATGTATATTTTTAACACAATAGATGCCAACATCTTGAAGAACCTGAATACAACATGCAGCAGTGGAATTCACCCTGTGTTTAAGAATCATCCATAAGAAACACAAACCCCAGTTACTGAATAAAAAGAAGGGATGATGCAAAGAAGAGAAAACACGTCCAAGATCTCATCTTTACCATAAGACCAGAAGTGACCAATGGGCATAGCTAAACTGTTCCAGTTCTTGTTTTACAAGAATGAGGGTCCAACTTCAATCTCCAAAATTCACATAAAAATCTGGAGGTGGGAGCCCACAGTTATAATTCAGATAGTAAGGAAGGGGCACAGTCAGTTAACTCTCCGTCCCAGGCTGACAAGAAAGTATAATATTATACCAGAATCTGACTCAAAAATAATAAAATAAAAATGTCTGAGTAAGTACAACTGAAGCTTTACTCTGGTTCCACACTTTAATATAAGTTCATGCCTACCTGAATACAAGAGAACTCCATCCCAAAGATATATATATATAACTTCCATTTAAAACCTTTAATTACGAATGTTGTTGTCATGTAAATCTATTAATAATGAATCAAAGCTTATAAAAAACTTGTAAACAAAACATTCACAGATAGAATTTGTAAAATATGCAATTTTACAAATTTCATGAAGTGTGTTACATACAATTTGTATTGTGAAATTGACAAAACTTATTCTCTTGTCTGACATATATAGGGCTCTAAACTCTGGAAAATTCAGAAATGAAAAGAGAAAACACATTCTGAGAATACAGTAACTTCAGAATATCACTAAACAGGGGGTAATCACAGAAACCGTATGTGTTCTAGACCAGAATTTTTCATGATACACAATGACATTGCCACTTCTATTTTTAACATAGCTTTTCCAAGTTCAAGAAAAAAAAAGTTACTGTTATGAAAGACAAAGTTTTTGCCCCATCACATATGTAGTACTGCCTAGAAACATTTCCCCAAGGAAGGGCTAGAATCTAGTTACATCCTAGGATTAGATGACTTTCTTTGTTCCATTTATTAGGTCTATTTATAAATAAAGAATCATTTTACAAAATTTGTAATTGTCATATTGCAAAATTAATTTATGTTTCAGGTGTTCAATAAACGGAAACCTGAGTGATGTAATTAGCTGGATCCTGTTTGAAATCAGATATTATTAGGTTTCACAATTTCAGTAGGCAATCTGAGAGAAGGTTTATTACTCTTTTGCTTCATCAAAATTTAGTATAAGTTCAGCGACACCCCTTTTTCCATACTAACTTTGCATACATCTCAGAAAAAGGTTCTTGGCTGAATCTCTATTCTTTGCTTCTACCAAGAATCAATTTTAAGAGGTGTGCACTTACCATACCTCTCTTCATTGTCTTCTTTGTCATTAAGGATGAAAAACAATGTACACACCTGACTTTTCCCTCTGCAGCACTTTCAGCTTAGTGTGCAACTCCTGACAGGACTGACACTATGAGTAAGACTACCAGTACAACCCTAAGATAAAGGTTCATAGATCAGTGACTTCAACTCCCTTCAGAAAAGCAATTAGTATCTCACCCATAGTTATGATGACAGAGCTTGCTTTGGGATATAAGAACTTTTCTGAAATTTTCCAGTTTATTACCACAGACACTGATCAGTAACTTATAAGCATTTCCAATGAGAAAATATGTTTGGAGAGATTTATACATCATCCTGATCTGTGAGGCTGATTAGGAGGGAAGATTCAATGATTAACAAAGTCTAATGTTAGTGATTCCTGTAAGAAGTCTCTGGATGTAGCTAGTCTTTTCTTGGATATCCCAACCAAATCAAGATAATTATTGACTTTTAGATCCTAGCACTGCTCATTTTCAGAACACCCCATTGAACACAGTAATTCATAAGTTCTGAGAACTCTACTGAAGTACAAGTAAATGGGAAAGTGATATCACAATCTGTACAAGAAATCATTAGTTTCAAATGAACTCAATGCACATAAATTGGACATAATGATATAAAATATGCTGGGAAAAGTACAGTTATCAACCCAAGGACAACTGAAAGTCTGAACAGAGCTTTTTCCTAGAAATAAAATATTTATATAATAATTCCTTACAAATGACATCAAATATGTCCAATAAATTTTATATTAAGAATTATCACTTTCACTTTCTTAAAGCACTGAATAGAAAACAGAAAAATACAGACTCTTTTTTTTTACTAACCAGGTAAGGAGTATTCATTCTTTAACTTTTAATAATAAAAAGCATAAGAATGTTTGCAAATTTATCTTCTGTCCAAGAACCATCTTATTTTTAAGGTTTTAGGCCAACAGAGAAGTGAAAGAGAAACCGTCTACACCAGTCCACCTTCAAATTCAAAACACAAAAAGTGCCTTTTTGAAGCTCTCTCTGTACTTTAATAATTCTTTAGAATAAGTTAGCAATAAAGAAACTTGCCATAGTTATTACAGGAAAAGAGACGTTCTCAAGTGTGCTATGTTAAGGAAGATAGAGTATATTCAGGATAGTATGTTTTGCATAAGGCATTCTTGCCAACCTACACACATGCTCTACTGCTTATCTATACCTAAGGTAGAGATATATTATTCGTTTTGTAAACAATATGAAGAAATTATTAGTATTCAAAGTTTCAAAGGCAGACAGTGTCTTGGGGATGTGATGAACCCAGGTCTATTTTGCAGGCAGCAAAACCACAGGCACAGGTTGTATAAATCAAGCCTGGTGAGAGATGTGAAGCTGCATATTCTCAATTGTACAGACCCTCTAGAGCCTCTCACTTGCAAATCCAGTTAAAGTCTTTGTTCCACCTCTTTTTGCTCCCCTATACTCACAAAATCCAAAATTTTACTACACTGTCCCTGATTCTAAATAGATTTCTTCTGCTCTCTCTTTTTCTCCTATTTATTGAAAATTTCCACCTCCTCTACGCCTCCCACTTCCCTCTGACTCCCCCTACCCCTCCCTCTCCAGTCCTAAGAGCCTCAAGGTGCCCTGCCCTGTGGGAAGTCCAAGGTCTTCCTCCTTCCATCCAGGTCTAGAAAGGTGAGCATCCAAACAGACTAGAATCCCACAAAGCCAGTCCATATAGTAGAATCAAAACCCAGTGCCATTGTTCTTGGCTTCTCAGTCAGCCCTCAATTTCAGCCATATTCAGAGAGTCCGGTTTGATGACATGCTCCCTCAGTCCCAATCCAGCTGGCCTTGGTGAGCTCCCATTAGATCAGTTCCACTGTCTCCGTGGGTGGATGCACCCCTCGTGGTCCTGACTTCCTTGCTCATGTTCTCCCTCCTTCTATTCTTCATTTGGACCTTGGGAGATAAGTCCAGTGCTCCAATGTGGGTCTCTGTCTCTATCTCCATCCATCGCCAGATGAAGGTTCTATGGTGATATGCAAGATATTCATCAGTGTGGCGTTAGGATAAGGCCAGTTCAGGTACCCTTTGCTCTGTTGCCCAAAGAAA